TTATAATAATCAAATGTTTTTCATTGATACTGGGTAATTTATTATTGTTTATCATTTTTTACTATAATTTATTTTATAATATTTCATTAATGTCCCTAATATCCGTATAATATGTTCATGTTTTTTATTTTATTTTATGAATCACTCAACACGGTGCTTGCTCTTGGATCGAAGCTGATGCACTCTACATGCTTACGTTATTTTTATATTTTATCTTATTTTTAATAAATAAAATATTCTATTTTTAAACCAAACTTACAACTAGTAGGATGTTTGTTTAAAATTAATTGATGCGCTTCTATGAACAAATTTAAAATGTTTGTAACTTGCACATTATAGTAACCTTGCGATAGTATAATAGCAATTAGAAAATGCATGAAATTAATTTCCACATAATCAGATATACATTTTCTCCCTATACCTTTATGAATGTAATCATCAGCATTCTTTCAAGAGTTTGCAGTCGAGGACACTTCTTCTAATTGCTTAATTTCAATATCGAAATTTAAAAAGTAATTGTGAACGCAGACATTAATCAATTTGCCGCGCCTACATCTATGCATTCCGCACACCGGTTTGATGAGTCGAGTGAGACGATTGAAAAGATTTTTATTATAAAAAAGAACATCGTAGTTCAAGGTGGATGACGGCATCATACTTTAACATTTCGACCAATGTTAAGTGAAAAGCTTTGTTCATGGCGAGACATTTGTGTTTTGACCTGTTATTAGTATCCATATATACTGATTATTTAGTCTGGCCATAAATTCTATTATAATTAAAAATAAACAAAATATTACTTTTGAATTTGGAATCTGTCATTTTTATATGATTCTCAATGAGCAATCACTCAGAGGCTCCAAGCGATCCGTGAGAATGGGATATAATACACCATATACTTAATCTGGCCATAAATACTGTTACAATTAAAAATAAACGAAATATTACATTTGAATTTGGATTTTTTTTATGATTGCTCATTGAGTTTTCTCATTTTGGCGCCAATACATTGTACAATATTTTGCGATATTAAAATGGAGTGGGGTGATGAAGAGAACCGAATCGCTGTGATTGCATTACACAAAGTAGGTATGGAGCCAAATGCAATTTTTAAAACTCGCCATACGCTTGGTATTAGTAAAATGTTTTGTGTACCGGGCTATTAATAGGTGCAATGAGATCTCCTCTGTTTGTGACAGAAAAAGATCTGGCCGTCCACGTAGTGTTCGTACGAAACAGGTGGTCAAAGCAGTAAGGAAAAGAATTCGAAGAAATCCTGTCCGAAAGCAAAAGATTTTATCTCGGGAGATGAAGATAGCACCTAGAACCATGTCGCGTATTTTAAAAGATGACTTGGGACTTGCAGCCTATGAGAGACGTACTGGTCATTTCTTAACTGATAATTTAAAAGAGAATAGGGTGGTAAAACAGAAACAACTACTGAAGCGGTACGCAAAGGGATGTCATAGAATTTTTGGAGTTTACTCCTTTAGAATCGATTTACATATATAGGCCCGGGGTATGAAAATTATGGGGACCAAAATCGTACTAGCATGTCACACGAAATGCGTTATGCGCCTGATTGGCTCCTGATTGCGTGATGCGTGCGCGCGCCAATCAGGAGCCAACGCGCGGCCGCGTTATCGCAGGTGACGCCGGGCTGCTGCGCCGGCAGTCCGCCACAAAGCCTCGTACTGATCGCGCGTTTCTCTCATTATTGTATTTTCATATATTTGTTAGTCGTTTGTTTTGTGTCTCGTTAATTTGTTAATAATCTGTAGTGTATCGTGTTGTCGTAATATAGAACTATTTCTCGTATTGTTTCGTTTAATTTTTTATATCCAGTAAACTCCAGTCGTGCGTCGGAGCGGACACACACACTTTTTTTTTGTTTACGAATGAGAATTTTTTACAATTGAGAAACATTTTAACAAACAAAATGACCATATTTATGCTCAAAGCTCTAAGGAAGCTTCCCAATTAGTCGACAGAGTGCACCGTGGGCACTATCCGACTTCAGTGATGGTTTGGTGGGGTATTAGCTATGAAGGAGGAACTGAGCCATACTTTTGTGAAAAAGGTATCAAACCATCGGCAAAAGTGTACCAAAATACCATTCTTGAGAAGGTAGTGAAGCCCCTTAACAACTACATGTTCAATAATTAAGAATGGTCCTTCCAGCAAGACTCGGCGCCAGGTCATAAAGCTCGGTCTACACAGTCTTGGTTGGAAACGAACGTTTCGAACTTCATCAGAGCTGAAGACTGGCCGTCGTCTAGTCCCGATCTTAATCCGCTGGATTATGATTTATGGTCACTTTTAGAGAGTACGGCTTGCTCCAAACGCCATGATAATTTGGAGTCCCTAAAACAATCCGTACGATTGGCAGTGAAAATTTTTCCCATGGAAAGAGTGGGTGCTTCTATTGATAACTGGCCTCAACGAATAAAGGACTGTATTACAGCCAATGGAGACCACTTAGAATAAGCTTTTTATACTTTAAATTGTTTTATATTTATGTATTAAACTAACTCACTGTAAAAGTAATAAATGTTATTTGCAATAGTTTTTTTTTTTCCTTTGTCTCAGTATTTATGGCAAGACTAGGTATATATATATTTTAAGAGTTAAACTGGAATTGCCAAAGTGGAAACATTAAAATTAAATGGAACCTGCACGGTCTGCGATTGGTGATTAAAACTTTTTACAAAAAATTAAATTTTATGAATTTTAAATTCTAAATTCGAAAAGATTATGATTACAGACAGTAATTTTGTGCTTTACGATTTTTGGTTTCTGGAATTAAACTTTTTTAATCTTATATAACTATTTAGGTTCCCCCTAGACCTGGTATGCTTGTTCGCTCTAATGAACTTCATGACTTGACACTTGATGAATTTGTTGACCAGTTCGTTTATCTGGGTCTCTTCTTTGTGGCGAGGGTGGCAGCGAGAAAGAGATAGCTAGAAGAATCCAAATGTCCAAAGCAGGAAATACTTCTTACGATAACAATTAGCGTAAGATGTATTTAGTTTAAAGGTTCTTTGAAATTCGAATCACTAGAAATACTGTCTGTACTGTAAAGTAACAATTGTACGAAATACTGTCACAAAATTAACGATGGAACACAGTAAGTAATGCCCTCCAAGAAAGGCAGGCAGCGGCTTGGCTCTGCCCCTGACATTGCTGACGTCTCTGAGCGACGGTAACCGCTTTCCATCAGGTGGGTCGTAAGCTCGTCTGCCTACTTGGCAACAATTTGGTCAATCGCATGAGATCGTTTTTATCGGGCGATCTTCAGGACTTACCCACAGGACTTAGACAGGATACCCAATGCATACAGATATCTTATGTTTTCTTAGGGAATATGAGTAGCTTGAAGGGATAACGTATAGCTTTAATAATAAACTAGTAAAACCTGGTCATGACTGTGCTGTTAAATTACTCCTTAAATGCATAGAATAACAGTTTGTTCAAAATATTCAGGCGTCACTTATCGTATATTAGTTCTGTGATCAAACGCTTTCACTGATGTACTAACAACAATCGTAAACAGTCTCTAATCAATTGGATAAACGCACATACTGATAGATGACAAATAAATTCTGAAGTGGAAGTTAAAATGGATATATAAGTAAATAGGGCCTTTGCTTAAATTATCAATAAACTAAATTAGGATGCTATTCTGTTTATCTATATATTAATACGTGAAGGAAAAACTTTGTAGGCCGGCTATCCTCGACCCACGCTGGTTCTGGCCCAGCGGGGTATTCCGTAGGGTAACCCACTCTAACCGGCGCCATCTAGGCGGGCTTCGGACAGTCTGCCGACCGAGAGGGCTGGTGGTCGTGGCGCTGACGACCGCCAGTCCGGCGTCCCGAGGGGGAGGGTGATGGGAGAGATGTGCTCCGCACTAAACGCTTCTGAGCAAAAAAAAAAACCCTTTTTACGAAAATTGCGCGGACGGAGGAGTATGAAATTTTCCACACTTATAGAGAATACAGAGAAGAAGTGCACAATGCTAATATTCTTTTAAAATAATGCATACAAGATCCATTAAATCAATAAAGAAAACATTACACACACTACATACCATGTATTTGACGCACACACGCATGCATACTATTTATTGTCAAACTTTAGTTCTTGGCGTCTGTTGTCAAATTGAGAATAGATTAAATATTGTTTGTCTTTCTTAATATTTTTTATAGTGTAGACTTGGCCAAATTTGTGATTAAAGAAGTATAAAATACAATCATAATAGTGTACAAACTTACAATTCCAAGTAACTATAGTCGAATTTCTTTTACTACTTTTTTAATTTCGACTACTGCGGGACCTCTAGTTAATTAGAATTGCATATACAATCTAACTCAAATCAACCTTAGATAGATTTTTTGCGTCATCATCCTTCTTTTTTTTTTTCACAGGAGAAAATCGCCGGATCCTGACCTGCACGACGGGTGGGGTATGTGGGAATTGAACCTCACTTAAAACTTCTGCGCTCACAGCCGGCGCCCTACCCCGGACCGGGCTGAAGCCCAGTCAGGGCTATCGAGACGGTGGGACAGGGTTTATGCAGAGCGTATTACATCCATCCCGCCGTCCCCCAGACGCCGGATCGGCGACCGCAAGCAACACAACCGCCGGTTCCTTCGGTCGACGGACCAGGAGCCCGCATTGATGGCGCGGATTAAAGCGATTTTCAATTTTTTTTGTTAGAGCCATCAGAAGTTCCAAATCTTTTTTGAATCAACAGAAAGTCAAATTGATATTCGGCAGCTATAAAACAAGGAAAACGTGAGTGGCCATGTGACGTGCAGTAATAAAATTCTTGTCAAACTGGCCGAAGCAGGATTTGTGCAATAACAAATGAAGTTTTCTTTTATTGTAATTATCGATATTGTCGGCATCAAAACAACACCTAGCCTTCCCCGGACACTCAGTTTCTCGATCGACGGACTTCAGCGCAGTCGCAAAGAAAATATTTTTAGTTAAAAATGCTATTGTTTTTTCGTATTTTCGTAGTTTTTGTCGGATATGCTTTATGTGAAATTAATTTTCATGAAGACAATTCTGTCGAATATGATTCAAGTGTTGAATATAATCAAGACATTGATTACGGTTCAGTGTATAATTTTACGGGATTTAATTTTACGGGATTCAATTTTACTGTAAATCCCGATTACAATTTTATTGAAGGAAACGTCGAGTTAGAATATGCGTGGACTAATTGCTATTTTGATATTGGCGGTGTAAAATGTAAGTACAGTATCAGATGATTTAAATCAATTTATGTGTCAAAATTTAGGGTCTCTTCGGGTCCCTTTCAACCGATGGTAAAACCAAACGATATTACTCGTGTCTATGAACCACGGTGTCTACCATCAGGTAAGTGGTATCCATGAGAATTTGTTGGAAATAAAAATGCAACTTACGCAACTTTATTGAAGACATGATTTTGTCCGAGATGTGTTTCTAAGAATTACATTGTCCCCCTAGAAAGGCGAAGGTATCACACCACACAGGCAAATTTTTGGTATATTCTGTTTTATAAAAAATGCTATAGAGCGAAATGAAATGAAGTTGATTAATTTGAGGCATTAATTGAGATGAAATCAAATGAAACATTGGATGAAATAAAGTTTCATTAAAATTTTAGTTATTAATTGAGAATTTTTCAGTGGACTTTTTGGAGGATCCCGAGAAGCTACGTCTAGCGGCTTTGTCTCATTTTCCTACATTTGTGCACTTTCACAGATATTAAACAGCTATGTAGCCACTGTCATTACACATTTAAACCTGAAGAAACAGTAAATAGGCAAAACAAAACAACAACTTTGCTCCTCGTGTTGACGCCAAAAAGTCCACAACATTAACAATTGGGTCTCCCAAGATAAATTTTAATAATAGAATATCATTAGTTATAAGGCTTATTTTATATTTTAGATTATGACAGTAGTGACGTGGCATTCAAAGAAGGCACTATTCATTTTGTTGAAGAAGAACTGACTGAAGAAGAGAAATTTTATATTAAAAATAATAACAGACCATTCGCGATTGATGGTGGTTACTCTGAACTTGGATATTACATTACAATCCCAAGAACAGAACCTGGTAACATATTTGATATTAATCTGATATTTATTTGTCTAAAACCGAAGCACATACGAATAAATTATAGGCTGAAGTGGTATTAAGCAGAGGATATTGCTTGAAAAATAGAATGTTGTTGAGTAGAAATCTTTATCTGGATGATCGTGAGTGGAATTTCCAAAGGTGGAACAAAGACCTCATCAATTGTTTTTGTGTTCGACATTCGAGACTGTGGAATAGGCATGCGGGAGTCGAATCATGAATGAATTGGTTCCACACGGATTTCCTCCCGGATCTTGAGGAGGAATCCCACACCCCCGATCACCCTCTTCAGCCATCTCAAACCCTGAGCCAGGAAAGTCAACTACCTGGGTGTCACCCTGGATGCATCCATGACATTCCGCCCACATATAAAATCAGTCCGCGACCGTGCCACGTTTATTCTTGGCAGACTCTACCCCATGATCTGTAAGCGGAGTAAAATGTCCCTTCAAAACAAGGTGTCACTTTACAAAACTTGCATAAGGCCAGTATGACTTACGCGAGTGTGGTGTTCGCTCACGCGGCCCGCACACACATAAACACCCTCCAATCCCTATAATCTCGTTTTTGCAGGTTAGCCGTTGAAGCTCCGTGGTTCTTGAGGAACGAAAACTTGGACCTCGAATTGATCCAAAAATACATGAAGTCCGCGTCGGAACGTTACTTCAATAAGACAATGCGTCATGATAATCGCCTTATCGTTGCCGCCGTTGACTACTCCCCGAATCTTGATCACGCAGGAGTCAGTCACCGTCGTCACCCTAGACACGTCCTTACGGGTCCATCAGATCCAATGACCCTTGCATTAGACGCCTTCCGCACTAACACTAGGAGTAGAAACCCCGGTAACTATAGTCGTCGAACTCGGCACAGAGTTCGACGTGCAACCTAACCTAAACATCAGCTCGTTGAGTTTTTCGCTCTTCTCAGCGGGTCACGATTCCGATCCGGTAATAGATTCATTCGCGAAGCAGCTACTCTTAAATTATTATGTCTCCCTTGGAGGCACTCGGGTAGCTGTTGGCAAATCCCGCCCCTTCTAGATGAGCCCTTGCTCGTCCACCTGGCCTTGTGGAACTGAAAAGGCCTCCTCGCCACCAGTGAGCCCTCCAGCCAGTGAGAACATAACCATAACTACTTTTTCGATTTAATCTCGGACAACTAATCCAAAAGTAGTTTTAATTATGTCTCTTTCAAGCGAAAACCAAATAAAATACTATGATTACAATAATTATTAATGTATCAAGATGAAATATCAGACATTTATTCACACAATGTTATTTTAAGGAATACCATCAACCATCAATGTTATAGGTGATAACGAAATATTCGTTAGTCCGGATTTTAAGTCATTCGATAACAAGCAAGGCGACAAATTAATTTCAGTTTATACAACCTTCTTCGATTTTTGTGGAAGACTATGGATGGTTGATACCGGATTAATTGATATACCAGGTAAGAATTAACTGGTACGATTCTGACTTAGAAGTGAAATCAATGCTATTTAGTAATGATGTAAATTTTTTGTGGGAACAAAAAAAAAAAGAAATCGTTTTTAAACAACATGTTCATCATTTTGAAACATGATTTATTTGCAGTCGTTTTTTTTCCTAATTAATTGATATTACGAATTAAGTTACTACCACGATTATTATATTGATGACTGACGAATCTCCAACGAGCGAGTGGGAACAGTAAACACATTAATTATTAACCTTTGCACGCTTGATGTGATAATCATGATACTGCTTTATTGTGATATTAAATCATTTTTATTAATTTCGATTGTAAATGAAGTAACTTAAAAATGAAAAAAAAAATGAATAAAAAAATAATAATATTATTATAAAAAATCCTTTTTATACTTAATCTGGCCATAAATACTGATGCAATAAAAATAAAAAAACTATTGCAAATAACATTTTTATTACTTTTGCAGTGTGTTAGTTTAATGTAAATTTAAAGTATAAAAAGCTTATTCGAAGTGGTTTCCATTGGCTGCAATACAGTCCTTTAAACGTTGAGGCCAGTTATCAATAGAAGCACGCACTCTTTCCATGTGAAAATTTTTCACTGCCAATCGTAGGGATTGTTTTAGGGACTCCAAATTATCATGGCGTTTAGAGCAAGCTGTACTCTCTAAAACTGACCACAAATCAAAATCCAGCGGATTAAGATCGGGACTAGACGACGGCCAGTCTTCAGCTTTACACTTACTACACACACTTTTGCCGATGTTTTGATACCTTTTTACAAAAGTATGGCTCAGTCACTCCTTCATAGCTAATACCCCACCAAACCATCACTGAAGTCGGATAGTGCCCACGTTGCACTCTGTCGACTAATTGGGAAGCTTCTTTAGAGCTTTGAGCATAAATACGGGCCTTTGTTTGTTAAAATATTGCTCAATTGTAAAAAAATTCTCATCCTAAACAAATTTTTTCTATGACCTCCCTTTGCGTACCGCTTCAGTAGTTGTTTCGATTTTACCACGCTATTCTCTTTTAAATTATCAGTTAAGAAATGACCAGTACGTCTCTTATAGGCTGCAAGTCCTAGGTCATCTTTTAAAATACGCGACATGGTTCTAGGTGCTATCTTCATCTCCCGAGATAAAATATTTTGCTTTCGGACAGGATTTCTTCGAATTCTTGCCCTTACTGCTTTGACCGCCTTTTTCGTACGAACACTAACTGGACGGCCAGATATTTTTCTGTCACAAACAGAGGAGGTCTCATTACACCTATTAACAGCCCATTTACTAATACCAAGCGTATGGAGAGTTTTAAAAATTGTATTTGGCTCCATACCTACTTTGTGTAATGCAATCACAGCGATTCGGTTCTTTTTATCACCCCAATCCATTTTAATATCGCAAAATATTGTACAATGTATTGGCGCCAAAATGAAAAAACTCAATGAGCAATCATATAAAAATGACAGATTCCAAATTCAAATGTAATATTTTGTTTATTTTTAATTGTAACAGTATTTATGGCCAGACTAAGTATATTATTGCTATTTTAACAAAAAAAAAAACTATTTCATAAAAAATTGTAAGAATATGAATATTTAAATAAGAAACTTTTTTTAATAGAATAAAATCTTGATTTGACTTCCAGGTGTTGGTTTTAAGTAATTTTACGCGTAAATTATTTTAAAGGTGTACGAAAACAAGTGAAACACCCATCACTAGCAGCTTATAGACGGGGCACTGATCATTTGATATCCAGTTATGACATAAGCCCTTCTGTGCTGATCAACGGCACAGCTACTGAAGGTAAGGAGTGTGTAACCATGTTATATATTGGTGGTGTTGAGCCTAACAGAGAGACACGAGAAAAGGTAGTGACAACAGGATAGAATACAGATGAATGGAATTAATTTGATGATGGATTCATAGACAGAAATTAGGGAGAGACTTGAATAGAAAAAAAAAAGACAACTATGGTGCTACTGTATTTCAGTAAGCAAAGAGATTAACGAATTTTTGGGGTAGTTATTTGTAAATCATACCAGATATCACAATCTAAGAAACTTGAAACTTAGGTCTGCAACTAGGTGCGAATACTATGGCATTTCATCTTCTAAGCCAGGAAGCCTTTTGCGCTAATTACAATCGACTACCAGTATATATTAATATAAAATACTCCTTTTAATAATATATTTAAGTTATTAAATTATTATTATTATTTTTCAAGTTTTTTAGTTTTAGGTTCATTGTTAGAGTTGATTGTTTATTAGTTATTATATATATTAGATTTATATTCCAAGATTAATATCATAACTACCTAGTATTATTATCATGATATCCTAACATTACAATTTCATAATGTCAAACAATAATAAAATATTTATTAATTATCTAGCTGACCCGGCAGACTTCGTATTGCCTCAACTGATAAATAAAAGACCTAAACTTTTGTATAAAATAAACTTAAAACAAACAAAAGGAATCCGTCCGACGGGGGACACATCAACGTAAAAACAAAGTTGTTATTTTTATTTAACTCCGAGCTTTGTCATAATTATCTACCTTTTAAACCTTCTCTGGACTTCCACAAATAATTCAAGACCAAAATTAGCCAAATCAGTCCAACCGTTCTCAAGTTTTAGCGAGACTAACGAACCGTAATTCATTTATATATAACTAGTCAGGTCATAAGTATTGTCATACAGTAAAAACTTTTCTTTTAGAATGCTGGCCACAAAAAAGTTTATTGAATTCGAATCTCGACTTGTTCATGAAAATAAAAATGTATTACTTTTAGAATTTTACTCATTTTTAAATATGGAGTGGACGCTTAAAGAAGACCGTGTTGCAGTTATTGCGTTGCATCGTTGCGGTTACGCGCCAATTCAAATTTTTAATATACTGAAAAATTTGAATATAACCAAAAGATTCGTTTATCGTACCATCAAACGATACGATGAAGACTCTAGTGTAGATGACAGGTCAAGAAGTGGTCGCCCTCGGTCTGTTGGGACTCCAGCAGTGATAAAAACTGTGAAGGCGCGAATTCAAAGAAATCCCAAACGTAAGCAGAAACTGTTGGCCCTTCAGATGGGGTTAAGCAGAACCACGGTGAAAAGGGTGTTAAATGAAGATTTAGGGCTTCGGGCATATCGAAGAAAAACAGAACATCGTTTGAATGCTCGTCTAATGGACCTGAGACTGAAGAGATGCCGCGCTTTGTTGAAGCGGTACGCGGGAAAAAAATATCGGGAAATTCTTTTTTCGGATGAAAAAATTTTTACTGTAGAAGAGAGCTACAACAAACAAAATGATAAGGTGTACGCATACAGTAGTGAAGAAGCGAGCAACCGTATTCCGCGTGTCCAACGAGGTCATTTTCCATCCTCGCTTATGGTATGGTTGGGAGTTTCTTATTGGGGCTTAACAGAGGTACATTTTTGTGAGAAAGGTGTAAAAACGAATGCGGTTGTGTATCAAAATACAGTCCTGACGAACCTTGTGGAACCTGTTTCTCATACCATGTTCAATAACAGGCACTGGGCATTCCAACAAGATCCGGCGCCAGCTCATAGAGTGAAGAGCACACAAGACTGGCTGGCGGCGCGTGAAATCAACTTCATCCGGCACGAAGACTGGCCCTCCTCCAGTCCAGATTTGAATCCGTTAGATTACAAGATATGGCAACACTTGGAGGAAAAGGCGTGCTCAAAGCCTCATCCCAATTTGGAGTCACTTAAGACATCCTTGATTAAGGCAGCCGCCGATATTGACATGGACCTCGTTCGTGCTGCGATAGACGACTGGCCGCGCAGATTG